GTCACCTATGATATTAAGACCCTGTTTACATGGAGTGGGGGACCCCGGTCTAGTGGGGTTGGTTTCTTTTGTTTCCACGCTCTGGGGGACACAAAACAAAAGAAACCTACCCCACTAGACCGGGGTCCCCCACTCCATGTAAACAAGCCCTAAGACTATAACTTTTTAGCAGAACGTAATTTCGTGCAAAGAAGAATTACTTGTTACCTTAAAAAATCCACGACTATGGAACAGTAAAGGAAAGGTGCGAGGTTAATTCAAATCTGAATTAAATGCTGTTTTAACGTGACATCACCTTGCAAACATTACCATGACCATACCCTTTATTCCTCCATCTTCCAGCAACCCTGTCATCTTACCTTTATCTCTAGCCATTAGTCACGTTCAGCCCAGTCACACTAGTGTTTATGCCACCATCGACCCTTCTCCTTAAGCAATCGTCACTTTTGACATCATATTTCCTAACCAGACTAACCAATTGTCGTCAAAGTTTATTATATTGTGGTTCTCTGTAACATTTTTGAATCAGAGTAATCAAGCAACTATTAGTCTCACGAGTAGCCTCAAAGAGTGCGGTCGAAAGAAGTACCTGTATGGACAAAACACGCGTCTATTTTTTTTTTTGTTGCTGTTTTTGTTTTTCCTTTCTGTTTCCTTTTAAACGAGTTCCAGTTGCTGTTTATTTATTCCTTGTGGTAAAACAGATCTTGACAAACCCCTTATAAAAGGAATACCGCGATATAACGAGTGCATTCCTCGCCGTACTTACAGTGATATGTTTAGGATAACGAACCCCTGTCACAAACACATTTTCCAGGCAGACCCAAGTTATTCGGTTTATCTGGATTCCAATGCATGTATGATTCCAATTGTTGATGGAATTATGTTACGCTTAAAATGATGTTGTATTGTGGCGGATATAAGGTGCATGCATTAGAAATATGCTTGTGTTCATTTTCCCGTGCGATGACGTATTAGGAATTGTTTAAGCCTGAATAATATATAATTATGCACAGTTGTCATTTCGTAAAGAGTTTCATTGAACGCGGGTAAAGAAGGTTCTGCTCTGGCACCGCCTGCTGCCGTTTTGTCGGATGCGTTGCAGCAGGCCGTGCTTCCTTTGCAACCACAATCAGTACAAGATTTTGGCAACGGAGCTCAGTCAGGTGCGGCTGTCTTGGCCGGAACACAAAATGCTGTATTTAGCACGTGTTAGGCCCTCGAACTCCACTTCTACGTCAAGGAGACATGACGGATTTTTCTCTTTCGTACATTTTTGTGCTATCTGTGAAAGCTCCTGTTTTCTGTTTGAGGAGAGTATTCATTGCCTGTTACAGGGTGAGTGGTTATTTATTTTTCTTCGTTTCTGCGGGTCAGCACTCTAAGTCTCCCACGTGTTTGGGAATGGGAAATAAGGAAATAAGGGGAATGTATTACCGCCTTTGTGCTGTGGTTTGCTTTATGATTTTTTTGCTTTCGCTTTACTTTTTTATTAGCGTTGCCACTTTGTTCAAGAATCGTTTGGGATTATCTTTGCCGAGGGGGCTTACGACGCGCCGGGTGACCTGGCTTAATTTGTCTAGTAAATAATATATCGATAGTGAGTTCAGCATGTGGGGGATTAAACGCCTTTTTAATTTATGTGTTAATTATCCAAAAGACGGCGACGAATCCTTGTGAGCCCAAATGGAGGTTATCGGTGGGGGCTTCGCGATCCCGATTATAAAGTGACTGCGCATCGCTGTGAGCCTGTTTATACAGTGACTGGCATGGGTATCGATTTTAATGAGTGGGCGTCTTTGTGAGCCTGTTTATGCAGCCACGGATCTGCGATGGGTATCTTTGTTAGCCCGATTATAAAGTGTCAGGGGTACCCAACGACCCTCTTAAATACAATTATAAAAAAACAAAAACAAAAACAAACAAACAAACAAAAACAAACAAAAAACAGCCTATCCTGGGCAGTGAAATGTGAACAATAAAACTTCAGAAAATCGTAGGGAATTTATTGAATAAGCTTCGAAAAGTTTAAATGAGTGGAACGGTCATCTTGAATTGTTTAGGTGCCCTCAAGTAATAAAATTCTAGTTAATATTTGCTTCTCCGAAAAAAATACTTTACAGAAAACAGTCTTTGGGTGCCCCTGCTTTGTGAGCCTCTTGGGCCCAGGTAAAGTATCCTTTGAAAGAGTTACTCCAAAAAGAGCCAGAAAATTAAGGTGTGGGACACAGAAGTGAGCCCAGATGTGGAAAGGAGCAGAAATTATGGCACAGAACTGAACCATCTTTGTGGGGAGGTTAGCTCCCTCTCCCGTCGCCTGTGCCCCCATCTCGCACCTCATACTACTTCCATGCGCCTGCTACATAGGTTATACATATAGAATACCTCATGGAAAGTGCGGGCGTACGGTATTTTCGTACGAGTTGTTGACATACTTCCAGAAATCAAAAGAGTGAGTTTTCTGATACAAAAACAGCGTTCCCGGAAATACCGTACAAAG